ACTTACGTATCAACGTTTTAAATTCTATATGAAATATAGAAATACTATTCTCGAAAAAATGTAGAGGGTCAAAAATAAGTTTTTTTTGTTTATTATTCATTGTTTTCAATATAAAATCTGATCCTTTCGCATGAAAACGCATCGCGAATGTTCTCAATGTAAAAAAATAACAGATTTCTATTTCCACATAAAAAACAAAATCGAACCAAAGATTATATAAATAATAGACACTAAACAAAAGTAACGATTATAGAATTTTATAATAATAATTTTAAACAAATTGATATGTTTTCAAATAACCGTATATAATAGCAACCGGAACAATAAAACAAAGTAAGTATAGACGTGATATAATATTATTGGCAAGTTCACCTTCTGAAACTAAATTTATCTGTGGTTAGTCAACGGATATTGTGTAACAAGGGACCGGACTAATCGCTGGCATTGAAATCTTTAGGAAGATCCAAGCATCTAGCGGCAGATATTGGTATTAATTTAAAAGTTTCATTGTTACAAAACTAGATGGCGCTTTTACCAAATTTATTTTCTTTTACATCATACTATAGAATTTACATAATATTTAGATAATTAAATATGTCATTTGTTATAAATTGTATGAAATATGTAAAGAGGCTAAAAGTAACGTGCTTTCTATATAGCATTGCATTTTTTATTACAACATAATATACTTTATATACTTGAGAATATAAAAATTATATAATGTTTTATCGTTCAAAGTTACCTGTGAAATAGAATAACAACTTCAAACAACGTATTTGGGCCACGATATATTATCACAAAATCTATTCTATCAATTAAAAACTAAAAGATATACAAAATAACCGATTCGGTTCAATGACTTTGATAGCTACATAATTAAACATGTAAAGTAAAGCTGGTGTATTGATTGGTGTATTTACAATAAAAATGGGACACCGTTATAGAATTACTTAGCATCTGAAGTATTCGCACTTATAGTAACAGTGTGCACCATTAAAAATAAACGGACTACGGAGCACTGCGGACAGAGCTATTAAAAATAATTGTTGAGGTAAAAACCATTTGTAGCATGGACAGAGTTTGTCAGCTTTAAAAAATTATACAGATACAAATTATTGTCGTGTTTGTTATTTATGAGCTGCGAATGTTTATACTTATATATGGTAACTTAGGTAATGACGTTTATTTAGATTATATGTGTAAAAATACATAAGAGATTTATGTACCTTTGTGGAAGTACTAGATGGTTTGTTTTAAATTAAGACAATTGGTTCAATCTAGCAATAGGTAGGTATTCATATAATATATGTATATATACTTATTACTTATTGATGTTCGAGCAACACAACAGATTTCTCATAGTATTTTCTAACAATATTAATCTTTATAAGTTTGTATAGTATCTTTTATACCTTTTTAATTATAACACAGTCATATATACAGTCACACAACACGGTCGCGACCCCTACCGTGACGTCACTTCCGATGCTCAAATCGCTTCCGGGCCTGCGGGCTTTGACATTCACTCTTTTGTTACGGATCCCGATATGTCAAATTATCCATTGAATCCATTTCAACATACGTAATATAAAAACTATGTATGGATATACAAATATATGACAACTTCTCTGTATTTCTATCTTTTAAATTATTAATTGTTACAATAAATTATTATTCACGTAGGTACTTATGCTTTGAGAGTATCGCAAATGTTATGTTATCTTAAACGAAATATTAATATCTAAGTTTCCTTAAAAGATGTTATTATTTCTAGAACTATGTCAAGATATTCCTGACAGTTATAACTCAGGTACACTTATAGAATATTCTAGAAGTGATTCGATCGTGAACTATTATGTTACAAAAGTTATACTCTCCAATCAGCTAAAAATAATCACTATTTTGTTAACTGTGCTGGTAAAAAACTGATTATACAACATCTTATGGGTACTTAGTTAAATAAATTGTATTGTATTAGTCTGATATATTTTAAATTAATATTTAACGAGCCTACAGACTAAGTTGGGTAATCAAAAATGTAATGTAATAGTTTAATAACACATTGCTAAATATATATTTGTACATATGTTTAATTACAATGAATGACTGGTTTTTTATGGTATTGTAAGGTTTCCAAGCGAGCTTTATCACTATACCTAGTAAAAAGTAAAATTTACATAAGATTTGTGTATTTATTGAATTCTTATCGATGTTTTCCTAGTATGAATGTATGCTAATAATAAATAACAGTAACTAAAATCTCCCAAAAAATCAGGTCGAATGATTCTAAAAATAATATTATAAAGAATGCATTAAGAGTTTATCTGTAAGGAAATGTTTTATAGGCCATACATTCACCGTCCATATAGTTGAATAAAATTTATAATTGAACTTAAGAGTTTAATTTTACATTTGCATTCAGCTGTAGTATATAGTTATTTAAATGAAAAATGCTTTATTTTTGTAAAAAACTACACACTCCCGACGTTTCGGCTACTCGGAGATACGGATCACATCTCATCTCCCCGTGATCACGGTTGCTAAAAAGTAACCGAAACGTCGGGAGTTTTAAAATAATAAAACACGCGTAATATATCCGAGAAATATTAGTTTCATTTAAATGAATACTCGCGAACGTAGATCTCATTATATGAACCAGTATAGTTATTTCAATTTTCAAGAGACATAATAATATACTTCCTATAGTATTAAGCGCCGCGAATGTAACACCTACGACGTGCCAAGCGAACGGCTATTTATAAAGTAGGTGTTAAAGAAAGATGCATTCAGTAATACATAGAATTGCAGTGAAATTTAAATGGACATATTAAATGAAATTATGAAAACTATTCTTCAGATGTATATGTACATATATCTTAAGAATTTAAATGAAACTATTTGTTTGCGCATTGCTCGCGTATTTGATTATTAAAAAATAATACATGCTCCCGACGTTTCGATTAATTTTCATTTTTTTTAGTAATAAAATGCGCCTACTAATCCGAAAAATAATAGTTTCATTTAAATGAATACTCGCGAAAGTCTTATATCTCATTATATCTTAAGAATATTTATCTATAGGTAACTATCATAGAGAATTATATATGATTTTTATTTTTTTATCTACATATATGTATATTATATTGAATTAAAGCTGATATCAGGAAATTTGTGTGATTTGTTGTTTTGTTTTTATTTTTAATCCTTTTTTCAGTATTAATAAATAAGGTGATAAAACATAAAATTAAAAATCGATGGATATTTTATTCGATAAACGTTCTTGATTTCATTTTATAATTTTGAATTTATTTCCAATATGAAAACTATTGAAGATATATCTGCATTATATGTAGTATCACTGAACTAAATCCTTTTTTCAATATAATATCTTCCATCACATGAATTTATTAATAAAATATTCAATGTATTCCATAAAGCTGATATGATAGCCATGTTAATTGAAATTCCAACATTCCCTGCATAATTGACTGCAGTACGAAATCTACGATCGCATGTTGTACTAAGCTTATTAAAATTTAATAATGAGATACACTTGCCTAAATCTAAACTGATATATAAGAACAAAACTTATATATACGATAAAATTATTTGATACGGGAGCCCACTAACATTATTCCAAATTACATAACATTTAAGACATATTCTTATTAAATCGTTAAAAACCAACTATTTTCCGCTTCATATGCTGTTTTTGTATAAATTATTATACATTTATCATACATTTTTAACAATACATACATGTATCTGACACAAATCTATCGTATTAAATTACAAGATAACGCATTTCTGTTGCCGCATTATTATTACGTTTGAATTATTTTTGCATTATACGATGCTGACGTCACGGATCGTGCATAAACAAGACGTCTAGAACCAAATTACTAACGAAAACTTTCCATACAATTATATTTTTGTAACATTGTAATGTTATTTAAAATATCTATACATATGCAATGAACTATTCTTTATAATCAGAGAAAGGTAAGCCGATTTGACCGGCACGCTTTCTATAAAGAAACCCAAACAAACTTTAACCGTATACGTAAGTAAAAATAACAAAATAACTCACTAATGTTATTTTGCGATCAAAGCTACAAGAGGGTGTGCGGAACGAATCACAGGAATAAGTTCAGGTCGTGAGTCACCAAAGGCCATTTAGTACAGATTTAGACGTACCGAATAATTTCATGGACGTCGCATTCATAAATTGATCTCAACTACGAAATACTATAAAGTTTAAGGCTGGTAGTTAACAGTAACGAAAAATTCCTAACAAAACGCCTATAACAATCTGCAGCATGGATACTAGTTAAAAAGATTCTATTCAAGGATGTTTACTTCAATGTCAAGTGTTTGGAGATAAATAAGATATGTGGCATGTTTACATCAACATCTTAGTTTTGATAATGTAGTTATCACGTGACCCAGTGCTAACAGCTGTCTATCATTGAGACTGTAATTGCAAACTAATACGTACACAGTACATATGTATATGTGTGTACGGAGTTGTGTAAACAAATGTCTTACAGTTCACTAACGATCTTCAATTAACTTCAATGTCCTTAAGAGTTTTAATGTTTTAGTTTTATATTGTACCACTAAAATAATAATGACTAATGTGGTTGTAATAGAGATTTAATGACTATAATAATATAAAGTTCTTAGTTTTATAATATACATTCTTATCTAACCTTTACTAGATATGTCAACTCACCGTAAACTTCATTCCAAACGTATGTTGATTGTAAATACGGACACTTATACTTTTAAAATAATTAGTAACTATAATTTACACAACACTCATGCATACAATAATAATCTATAAATAATAGACAATAAAGTTAGTTTTTTATTGAATTAGTGTCACTTGTTTCTTAGAAGTCTCAATAAGATCTTTCCAACTGTTAATACTAAAATAACCACTGCACACAACACAACAACATGCGCAGGCGCAGGCGCTCGCTCAGAATCCGACTCACCGGTGCCACCTGTATTTTCGTCCTTATCCTTATCTCTCACTGTAAACCGAACAAATTCTTGCATATGACTAGGTAATTTTCTGACATCTTTTTCTTCACCGTCTTCTATCACTCGTATTTTATGTTCTATCACTTTGGGCTCCCTATACACGTCTCTAGATTCCCTTTCGTCCTCAGTTTCTGGATCTCTTATACCTAATTTATTCCATCTCTCCTTTGCCTTCGATATAAATTCCTGTTCTATACGATTGTTCACTTTGGAATCTAAATAATTTAACGATGGCATGCTTTTTGATATCAAATTGCTACTCGAAGGTGTCTGTGATACTTTTATAACTCGGTGATGTTTTCTCTGTTCTCTTTCAGCCATTTGATTAATGTATTCTGTGTACATTTTCTCTCTTAATAATTCTTCTTCGCTACTACTGAAGAATGAGTGTAACTTTCTGTTTTCAACATTTTTAGCATTAGGATGATTGGAGAATCTGTCTTTTTTAAATGATTTTTCAGTCTCAAAAAATCCACTGTAATTATTATCTTTTTCAGATATCATTGGCGCTCTAGGACCCCGTCTCTGGGAAGACTTTAGTTGTTCCTGTTCAAGCCGTTTTATTTCTGCGTCCACTTCTTTCTCTTTTTGACGAATGTATTCCATTTGTTGATCACATATATCTTTGGGTAAAGATGGTCGTCGGGGATACACAATATTTGAATTTTTATTTCGTAAGTTTGTACATTGCCTATGCATATTTTGTATCGAAGATATATCATTCTCTATTTCTTCATTTAAATTACCAGTTGAGTAATGGAATACCTTTTTGTCACTACGCATGGACCTGAATGAACTATCACTTAGAAATTCAGAATCACTCTCATATGTGTATATTTTTCTTGGTTTTGGTGGAGGAATTGGTTTGAAATTTATTGGAGGAAGAGAAGACATATACTTTTGATTGTTTATGGTTTCTTTAAAATTGTTGGACGCATTTAGTTCTTGCATCATTCGCATAGAGAAAGAATCGGTACGAGGCGATGACGGCTTTGGGTTTTGAAAGTAAGTTTCATCAATTAAGGTCGGTAAACTTAATTTCTTTGGAGATGATGTATTACGAAGTAAAGCTAGCAATCTACTTCCAGTTTCTGATTTCATCGGTACCACACAAGGGTCACTTTCTCTTTTTCTATCAATTCTTGAACTGTCAACTTGTTCCAATTTTGGTTTAGGAGGAGGAATTATGTCATCTCTATTTATAACAGTGTTAGTCTTTTCCATTAACATCTTTTGTGAAGGAGATAAACATTCATATACCCTTTCCGGTAAAGGTGGTATTGAAACGCTTTGTTCCTCTTTACCCTTTTTTAATGATGACTTTCTTGGTTGTACTGGGGGTGGAGCATGTTTATTTTCTTTATTATGTAATTGCTTTTGTACAGACACCACATCTTCCTTAATGTTTAACTGAGAGCTCACTTCTTGAATATTAATATTTTTCATGTTCGTTGACAATTTACTTATATCCTGTAAACGTTTTGACACGTTAGCCAATTCTTCCAAAACTTTGTCACCAAAAGGAAAAGAAGATATCCTTTTAAGACACATATCGCGCAATGTAGATGGCTTTTCAGTTACAAATTCCCCCTCTACATCTGATACTAGCTTTTGATCTACATGCTGAATAACATCCTTAACATGACTTGATGTTTTTCTTATTATTTTCTCTTCTTTAATCTCTTCCTGAGATTCATTACAAAGAAAACTAGAAACATCATTTAGAGATGAAGTTGTTGGATTATATTTGGCTGTACATTGAGAGGAATCAAGGCTACTTGAAGAGTCTTGTCGGGTAAACGAGTCTTTAGGATCACTCATATTATTATCACTAGCATTTTCTGAGTCAGAAACTTCTTTAATCAAGTTATTTATGGCATCATTGAGTTCACATTTTAAAACTTTAATTTCGAGATCATATTTATCAATTTCATTTGAGTTTTTCTTTTTAAGTTCTAAAGCATCTGTACTTTTTTCGTTTACATTAATATCTTTAACAAACAGATCTGTTTTTATATCATCTGTACTCAATACTATTATTTCATGACTATTTGTATTTGACTTCTCAGTGTCAATAATATCTTCTTTATCCATAACTAAATTACTATTTTGATGAACATTTTTTTCTTTTGCGTTAGTTATATTGTCAACGCTGTCAATCATATCCTTATGTTTATTTTCAGTGCTTTTTGATAAAAATGTGTTCTTTAGTAACGATTCTGTGTCAGTCACCTCAATTGTTGGAGTTATCATACGAACAGAAACATCAGTTTCATGACCTTTATCCGCATCGTCGCTCATTTCATATATTGAACTTGTACTACTTGATGAATCTGTTAAGTAAACCAACTCTGCTCCTGTTATTTTTTCAATCGTTTCCATTTTCCAGTCTCCGCGAGCTTCACATAGTTTTGGTTCCATAATTTTGGCATCCACCTTTATGCATTGCTGTGGAATGACATGACGTGAAAGTAAATTTGACTGGTGTGGGAAATTTGTATCTCTTCTTCTTTTTATCTGTGAATCTTTACTTTCAAAAACTTCGTCCTCCAATTCCTCAGTATCACTCTTCTTATCACTCAAATATGAATGACGTCTTGATGTTTTAGACGAATCTCCACTCCCTTCTTCATCAATTACAGCTAAAGATCTCGAGGGTCCGGAACGCTCAAAAAATGTATCTTCAGCCATTCCTTTCCTTCTTAAGCGATATTTGATTTCACGGTTAATTATATGTTCGATTTCCGATTTAATTTCTGCATTATTCACGTTCGGATTTGTTGATAAATTGAGGGTTTGAAGATAATGACGTAAAGATAATTCTTCTTCTGGACTAAGAGATTTAGTTTGCTCACATTGTGCTGTATTAAGACTTATATTATGGTTTTCAGACAGTATACCTTTAATCATTTCGGTTTGTGGCAATTTTAAAAGTTCAGCCTTCTCCCACTCAACTTCAGGTTCTTCAGTAGTAACAATCACGTTATTAGAATCAACTAAAGACAAGCTATTATCTTCTATTTGAGAATTATCATCTGTGATTTCAATAATCTTAGGAGAATCATCGTCATCGCAACTCTTACTTTTCTTTGCATTATTTAATTTAGGTGTTGGTTTTGAATTTTGATCTGGAGTTTCAACGATGTACTTCTCAGACACACCTGTTTCTATATCACTACTTTTCATAGATTCTTCAAAGCCTTCATTTTTAGCCTCATGCCCCGCGTTAGAAACTTCAAGATTATCCAAGGATTTATCTAGAGTATTTGGCTCATCAAAGTCAACCTTAGTTTCATTAATGTTTTCTGTAGCTTCTTTTAAATTTTCATTCGCACTAGCACTAGATCCGCTGCATTCTTCGTTAGTTGCAATACTGTTTTTATTCACGTCATTATTATTATTTTTATTATTTTTCCGTTTATTCTTATTATTTCTGCGCCGTTTCGGTCTTTCCGGCATTATAAAATAATAATTTCACTCACTGATAGCACTAATATTCTTTAATAATAAACAAACACGTCAACGTAATCTACCGTGCACTCACAATGATACCGACACTGAATACGTAGGAATCGTTAGTTACGTATCAGCACTCGTAGAAATAGGGACTTGACTCGTTCCACTGACCGGTGCTCCGAAGGGCTCGGAAGTAAAATATTCAGCTCATGAATTCCGTCTATTTTTCTTTTACCGAACGCTCTCGAGCGCGATAGTCGTGCGCTCGCGTCGCGATTTACTAATAATTATAAATGGGTTGAAGTACGCAGGCGCGGGCCGTGGACTTTATTTTTAAGCGGCGACGTAGGAACGGTGCGACGAGGGGAGTCCGATAGCGGCAGCCGACTGCTCCGTACTAACACAAAGTATTATCACCAGACGCGATTTTAAATTGGTTATTGCTAATTATTATTGTCCACGCATAACTATACCATTTTAGGGATGAATAACGGAGGCAGGCTCCACCGAACAATACTCTATCAAATATATTTGGAATAAACCGTACGTTTCTAAAATTTTAATTTGTATATATATTATCACAATTGTATTTCAAATATAATATTGAAATTATTTCGTGAACATTTATTTCGAATCTACATATAATATTAAATAAATTTAATAATGCTCGAAACAACGAACTATTATATAAATATATGTAGAATTAATTATAAATATATAAGTAGTTATTGTTATATAAAGCACTGTTAGCAAAGCATTAGTATTGTAATAATTACGTAAACGAATGAATGTAACTTATCATTTGATAACCTTGAATGATAATGTTTATTGATTTTGGCCACTCTATACAACGGAGATAATCAGAATATCATATAATCGTTTCCATTACCCAGTATTCTAATATTTGTTCAACCTAACATTGTTTAACAAACATATGTATCGTATATATTACTAGATCACCGTATTTATCCTCAAAGAGATTTATTATGTTTAGTCATTTAGAGAAGATAAATAGAATTATAGATATATTCTTAGTAATATACATAAAACAATAAAATCAGTTGAATTAATATTGAATAGAATGAATATGAAATAAATAAATTCTTGAATTTTAGCAAGGAAAATAAAATCTCTCACATGAGTAAGAAGATGTATATATCTTTTTTTTTACAATTTTGTTTCTTATCTAATCATTTAGATTTCCTTTATTTAAAAAGAAAATTGTATTTGTTTGATATTATATTAAAGTAGAACAAATATGTGGATAAGACGTAATAGTATAGGGGAAGTAAGTTATTGCATATTGTCGGCTCGCGTGGGTTCATATTAGACTAACAACTCTACCTTAGACTTGCAGGTCATCTGAATTGATGACTAGCTTCCCTAGTCTAGAATCATTATGTATACTCGATAGGTAAACATTCTAGAACAGTTTTATATCAAGATTTCAATTTACGATACAATATTTGTATAAGGTACAAGACTCAATAATATCTCAATAAAGACAATGACATAAGTATTTAAATCGGTTTATAATGGCTTAAAATGTTTAATATTTTCATATAAACTTACATTACTTATCTTCTTTGAAGTGTATATTAAAACAACTGACAATTTGTTTAGATTGTATGTCCAAGAAAAACATTTTAAAGTTTAATATTTTACAAGAAAAGCATAAATTTTCTAAGAAACTAGTGCCAGAAAAACTAGGTTTAATGTCCGTGCAGTTCGCTTACTTTATTATCCGAATGCGAAATTACGATAAAATTAATTTCAGTGAAACATTTCATGTAGGTCAAGTCGTCTTCCCGGAGCGTATTTAAACCGTGCTGTTCTCATTCGATACATTCAAAGATTTAATCTAGGTCTGTATAGTCGCGAGCACACGTAAGAATTATACATACATTATTTAATATAAAGAAATACGTATTAAAACTTAGATGACCCACATTCGGTTTTATTATGTAGGTACATATTATGTACTGTTTACTACAGAAATCTTTCGTTGTAGAATGAATTTTTTGATTATTGGTGTGTCATTTTTTTAAAAATTCACAGTAAGTTCACCTTGTAATAATTTTAAATAAAAAAGATTAAAATAGGGAATATTCTGTTCAATGTATATTATTTACGAATATATACTTCGTAGCTTTACATTAGTAACATAGACGGATAAGTTATTACAAGATTACGTATTCTCGAGCTGGCATTGATGGCGACGATAAATAACAAATAATCTCATTCAGCCAGTATCTGACGCATTTCCATTGATAACAATGAACAATATTTATTATTGGAGGGAAATGTAATGGCTTGGAAAACATGGCCTTCCGAAAATATCACGATGCACGAACGACTGTGTCGTATGAGAGTGGTTAGGAATTAGATACTTAAAAAAATCAAAACCTATGATGAAGTCAAAATAACAGATCGGAAATAATCTGGTTTATGCTCAAGGGGCAGCCGTGACTTTTATTGACTTGAAATTTTTGGGACGTATATATAATGTAACAATATAAAAAGTGAACAAACAAACGGAATAACGCATGACATAATCTCCGGATCTATCCGCGGGGTTGTGCCAAGCCGATAACTAGAGACAGCTTTTTGGCAATCTTTCAAAGGGTCATAAGGTCAAAGAGCTCAGCAGTTAAATTTATTTTTACCTCCGACGTGATCATTCCACTGTAATGAGCCACGTGCATAAGTTTATATGACCGTAAAATGATAAAATGATGCTAAATTTCAGTTTAGAATAATAACAAAGACGATTTTTATTTTTCTTTCTTTAAGATATTACGAAATGCAGAGTCCAAAAAATCATTACAAGATATTATGTATGGTTAAGATAAAATAAAAATATACATATATGTTTTTATTTTAATACAATGTAATATATATTTTTTAACAAAGAGGTTTTATATAATTTCTATTATATGAGATAAAAATGCCATGGATCGATTTTCTCATTATACCAATACCTATAAATGTGTACGTGGACCAGTAATCGTATTAAAGTTTGAACAGTCTCACTATATACGGAAAGTTTAAAATATTTCATTCATTAATATATGACAGTACTATAAGCGTAGATTTATCTTTGAGAACTGACAACGCTTCCTATACTGTAATAGTAAGGATAGATACTGCACGTAATTACAAAAGGATATCGAGTGATCTTCTATCGGCGTTCCACTTTTCATTGCAAGACTATTACTATACAATCACAAAGTTTTCTTCTATATTAAACTATAATTGAGTACTAGTATGACTACAGATCGTTACTGAACTGAAATTTTCATTCATTTAGCTGTTTGAAAGCTGAGAACAACATTTACATTTACAGAATAAATTCATATCTTTCTTTCTATGAACGATATTTTTAAAAGAAATAAATAGATTACCCTATTAGAATCACTACACGTAATACACATGTTACCCAATAAAATCTCCATAATTGCCCGTTAATGACTATTGAAATTAGATAATACCAATTAAATATACAACCGCATTATTTTCTCCGTTGTCATTAAAATTGATTAAAGTAATTACAGCATAAACAACATGTAGTAACACGCCGTAGTTCAAAGGGGATCCTGTATATAGTATTCTATTACAAGGTAATGTAAAACAAAGGGTCTCCTGGTACCGCGAAGGACGTCATTATTGTTAAAACTCTTTTGACTTACGTAACTCGTTTAAAAGGTTTAATTTTACCTCTTAATTTTATAAAGTTGATGACCATTGGAAGATATACGTGTAATATTAATGCGTATTAAAATTATTAAACATATTATCAAGAAACAAAACTTTGCTTTGCTTTGAAACTTTGAAATATGACTTGCAGTTTGTCAGAATATCTCTAAGTCAACTTATTATTAGACTCAGATATAAGTTTACTTCCTTGCTACTATTAAATATTAGGTTCTTGTAAGTTTAATACAAAATGTAGTCTCATTTAGTGAAGAAACGAATGCCACAATTCCTATATGCCACTCTCTCATAGTATATATTGAATTTATTTCATTTTGTATTCAGTTTCATAGAATAACTCTTAAAGGAACTTATCTGTAGTATGGGAACATTTCTGTTCCGCTTCACTTAACATGTAGTAAAACAAATGAAGTGCGCTTACGTTGGTTTTTCTGTGGCGTGCTCTGTGAAGGAGACTGCGGCGGTACCAGCGGTGATTTTATATCTCCTGAAACAATATATTACTATATAACATGAAATACTGAGATCTAAGACCTTCGTCTTATTCATTTAAATGAAACTAATCTTTTTAGGTATACTACGCGTGCTTTAGTTTTTAAAAATATGTAGAGAGTATGTAGTTTTTGACTAAATTAAAGCACAAGTAGTATATCTGAAAAAACATTAGTACCATGTAGACATGAAATACTTCGGGTCCATTAAATATCGATAGAAAACAATCACTTAAGAACATGTAATTTAAAAACTATCATAATATAAATCTCCAAAATAATAGAATTTTTATATAACAATAAATGAATCAATGATATATCATTATATCATTGATTCATATTGTTATACAAATTTAATTTTTAATACAAGTTGATATTATCCTTTTCGGAAATTATTAAATAACCCAATTCCGACTTTTTTATTATTTATTCATATACAATGAATGATTTATATATTTTTTGTATTGGATTTTTTATTATATTAAATACTCTATAGAATAAAACGGTATTTTGATAGTAAATTATATAAATAAATCACTTGTGATATAATTTTATTAATATGAGTGTGATTAGTTAATTATTGAAATTGATTCAACAGGCTTAAATTCAATAAAAATAAAGATAGGAAAAACAAAAAAATATATAGACAAAGGCAACTGTATCATATGTATATAATAAATTAATGTAAAATTTTCCTAATATGAAATAAAATTCAAGAATTTGTGATCAACATATCAACTACTAATTATAAAGAAAGCCTTCGATTTATCAACTTATCAATTAATTTGTATTTACTAAATAAGTATGTAACGTTACCAATATGTATTATAACTTACAGATTTTTATTCTTATTATGGACTTAGACATTCTAAGAGGTACCTGTTAATGACAAATCGCAAAGAAATGTGAACGACTTCAGTAAAAGTTAACAAGGTTACGATTCTGAGATTTTTTAGGTGGTAAAGTCTAGCTATAGTGATGTAACTACTAATATACGAATATGGGCTGGCTCGACCAGGAAAGTACAACCCTCTCACAGAAGATCGGCGTGAAGAAGCCTTCAATGGCTGCGTTTCGTCCGATAAGTGAGAGAGCCGGTTGCCCTTTCCCTATTCCCACCTTTTCCTGACTTTCCCTTATTCCCACTCTTCCCTATGCCTAAAAAACAAGGTCGGCAACGCATCCACAAAAAAGATGTTGCGAATGTCTATAGGCGATGGTAGCTTATGCCCACCAAGTAGTCCATTTGCTCGTTTGCCCTCTTTAACATATAAAAAAAGAAAATGGAATTCTTATAAAAATCCGGTCTATGCTAAATTAAGGACCCCTTTTGAATAATAATATTAAAATATCATTTAATTTAATGAAATGTCAGCACAAAGAAAATTTCATTATAGATGTGAATGTAAGTATGGACTTACAAATTGTCATTACACGATCACACTTAAGTTGTTTACATTGTCAACTTGAAGTGTAACAAGGATTTACATGTTATTTTTATATTTACAATGTATTTCTCGTGTCATGTGTTTTTTTATGTTTTCGTTGTCAGTCTTATGTAATTTATTAATCAGTATTACTGTTTTAAATGCCTGTCTGAGTGACTTTGTTTAAATCAAATTCGAGTATAGGTATATACACTCGAAATAATAAGTTGGAACTAATAATGTGTTTATCAAATAGTTAGCCGATTTCTGCAGTTTTAATAAAAACTATACATATTTATTGCTAACTTTAAGATGATATATTTTTTTAAACAGGAAAATAATGAACTCGAAATTATATAAAAAAAGTATTTTTTTTGATTAAATGATCAAAAGATTAGAAAATATAACTAATGGTTGAAAATAACAAATACCACAACTAATTCGAAAAACATCCCCTACGATTTATACATATAAAATGAAATAGAGTTTACGAATCATATTACCAAAACATTTCCATGTAATTCAAAACATTTAGCTCGGAAAGGAAATACAATTACTAAATATGAACCGCGTACAATCAGGATTCTAGTTTTGCGGACGAAGCTGATTTCAACACAGCTGCTGCTTTATTTGTCACATCATTGAACACCGATTACGGTAAATAATATTAACGATTTAACGAGAATTGCATAAAATTTATATATTTATGTTTTATACAGAGAGTCTGGAATGTGACGGTTTTAAAGTACAAACGAATTTGTAACAGATATAACATTACTTAGTATATATTTCTTTGTTGAAAACAATCATGTCTTTCTCATAATTACTATAATTTAGTTAAAATCTATATATATGTATAAAAAGTCGTGTTAGTTACTCTATTTATAACTCAAGATCGGCTGTAGAGGCTTGCCTGAAAATTGGTGGAGATTTAACTTAAAACAAGGACATAAGATATTTTTTACGCGATTGAAAAAGAAAAAAAATAATCAAATCCAAAATCTTCTTATCTCCTGTCTTTATGGAGGAATAGAGTTCGCCCGGTCACTTAAATATTTCTAATTATTAAACTAACACGGATGAAGTCGCGGGCGAAAACTAGAAATGTATATAATATTAACATTTTAAAGTTATTTTATCAAGTTAAACGAACCTAACGTTAAATGTCTCGATTGCGGCTAATCGGAAGTAAGATCGAAAGGAAAATCCAATTCAAGTCAATAATTTAAACGAAGGCAAGCTCTTGAACAAACGATCCATTCTCAGATTCGATTGACGATTGAGACGGTGAGATGCTGTACCTCATTTAAGATGAAATAAATCTTTCCGAGCTTCGTTTGAGATATTCGAAATGAGTCGTGATAATATTTTAAATTCGACATCTTTGTTGGGCGAAAGTTAGAGTAACGAAAGGAGGGCTATAATGATTGACGCATGATTATTTTGGACTCACCTATTTAATGTTGCACAAGTATCCCATCACTGACCACCGTCGATGGCAGAATGTAACTCGCGTGTGACAACAATACCCGCTTTGTGAACTGATTGCGACATGCTGGACTAACTACCGGTCATATCCTTCTGATATGGTAAAATGTTTACATCACAATGTATGATACGACCTTTTAGAATGAACACCATCAAAAACAACAAATATTTATTCATATTATACGAAATAATCCATCAAAAATTTAGTATATCTATACTAATATTATAAAGCTGAAGAGTTTGTTTGTTTGTTTGAAAGCGCTAATCTCCGAAACTACTGGTTCGAATTGAATAATTCTTTTTGTGTTGGATAGTCCAGTTATCGAGGAAGGCTGTGGGCTATATAACATCACGCTACAACCAATAGGAGCAAAGATATAGTGGTAAATGTGTAAAAAACGGGAGAAATTATTTCATGTTTGAAGCCTTCCGTTGCGTGCGCCGTGAAAACGGTTCAAGATACACAAAAAATATGTATTAAAGAATAATAGCTCTTTTAATAATCTAAAAAACAGTCCGCGACAGTATATGTCTATCTTTTAAGATTAACTCAATAAAACCGTTTTTATGGTACCTAATTTGGTCGAAATAATTTTATAAAATCTTTATTCAAATAAACAAATAAATATGTTGTTGGCTAAGAGTACTTCATTGTGAATTTAAAAAAAACATGTTTTATCCTGAAAACTCTACGGGAACTCGACTATTCCGAAAACCCTGCAAGAACGGGAACTATGTGGGAAGAACCAAAAATCTGCCGGAAGTCACTACTCCACGCGGACGGAGTCGCGGCAAGAGCTAGTATTTAAATATTCAAACAATTGATTGCGAACTTAAAAATTTTAACAAATAATAGCGGTTTCATATATATATTAATTACAACTAATTAACGTCATGTATATTAAATATAACAGACGGAAAACAAAATGAGAATTATGCAGAATTTCCTTTGGGAAATACTACAAATTATGATTTATTTAAAAAATATAATAAATGATTTATAAATTTATATGAAGAATATTTATTACGAAAGTAGTACAGTTATTCAAGACGTATGTATATAATTAAATTTAAAAAAATTCAATTCAATATACAATTCTCTTAAAATTTCCAAATATTATTACTTTTGAAATACGGAACCCAAAAAAAATATTAACTAAATTAACGGCAGCCTAAAAATGTTTTATTAACTCTATTATCTGGAAAAATCACATTTTGTCCATTTTTGCGAACACAGACAACATTATTTCTATAATTTAATGTCCATTTATATATTTATATGAGAATAATAAATTTATTTTGAACTCACTACAGAACCTTCTTTTACAATTTCATTTATTATTGACTAGCTTTCCGGCCGCAGCTTCGCCCGCGTGGATTTTGGTTATATCGTGTTTCCAAGAGAAACTTTCAAAAGTCTGGGATAAAAACTATGCTATGTTCTTTCTCAAGGTCAACTCTATCTCTGTACCAAATTTCATAAAAATCAGTTCAGTGGTTTAGGCGTGAAAGCGTAACAGACAGACAGACAGAGTTACTTTCACATTTGTAATATTAGTAAGGATTGTTCCGGTTGAAAAAAGTGATATTTCTAGCATATATTATAATATAATGTCATGTTTTTCTAAATGTAAACCGGAAGATATTCATCGCGTGTTTGGAATATATCCTAAATACGGCACATTACATGTCGTATAGAAGAAATGGTTGATAGATTACATCGAAATAGCACATCATCATAATCCTATCTTGTAGTGTATATTCACAAAGTTTTCGTATATACAAGGAAATATCTCGCTTAACACGTAATGCTCAAAAAACGTATATAGATTGAAACATTAATACCTTTTAATTAAGATGATAATATCACTTTTTATTTTATTTTTTATTTTATTTTACTTGGATAGCCAACAAAAGAAAACATTAATACATTCATTACATTAACAAACTATCAATAATAACTTAAATGTCCTTTTAATTATAGGCTATCACATCATGCAAAATACATATAATAATTGTAGTAAATCAAAATTTAAATTAAAAAACAATAATAATAAATTAATAAAACATTACAGAATAATCACTAAAATTGACATAACTATTTTTCAGGTAAGGTCAAAGTATTAAGTAAATTCAATTAATCCAATAGTTTAATCATCACGAACGAACAACTCCAGACTTCTATAATTTATTTACTTAGGATTATTCTAAATGTAGAACTTAGTATGAATACAGAAATAATTTATTTTGTACAACTTGGACTTCGCTAACTAAATTTTCTTAACAAATTTAATACAACGATCTCATCAGCAGAGGTTCATTACTCAAAGTTGCTGTAAAACCTTTCCTGGTATATTTTAATATAAGAAAAACAAATAAAAGACATATAGGTGAAAACTCAGCACAAATGAAATCTAATTGAACCATTACATATATTCGTAATGTACAAAAGTTCAAAATTTTGTATAACCAAGCACAAAACAAGCTGAAATCAGTGTAATGCATGCTTCCGTGGCAGTGATTGTCATACAATATATTTATTGTTGGAGACGGGCGTGTCCGAATAGGTAAATTTCGTTCGGACCATCCATCACATAGCGACGCGAACCATTCAAGTTTGTTTTATTAAGCTATCAGAAATAGGTCACGGAATAGGACAGAGTCATTTATAACAGGAATCGGACTTGCTATAAATTTTTCTTTATTAAGGCCTGTTTTAATTATACGGGTGATAAAAATATGTTTCAATTCTAATAGTACATATTATGGAATGTTTATACCAGAATATATTTTCGCAACAGATTCGGCTGGTTTTTAATAAAATAGTCATTATCATAATAAAAATATAGGATTTTTTAAAGGCTGATATAGGTAGGAGCTAAAAAGATTGTAAATTTTATAAGAATTTGTAGTTTTATTTAGATCGGAGAAAATTTGAATGAGCCGTTACCATTATTAAAGCGTCCAATTGTGTAATAATCTTATAGCATCAGGTATTAAAAAAATATTGCTCGAAAGTCATCACCAAAGTTTGTCATAGAATTTAAGTACACATGCTTAATGTTCTGTATCAAAATGCAATTACAACAAGTGTTTGGACATTCTTTTAATTCCTCGAGAGACTCAATGGGGAGATCAATTTAAATTAAGCGAGATCTTAAACTGTCTTAGAACTTAATTGTAAGAATTCGTCTTAAGTGTAATGATAGAAAGGAATCCCTGATGACGATTGTAACCGTAAATTAGACACTTTACAAAAACATTCGTATTTTGATTGCTATGATTCCGAATGTCGAAGAATTTGTTTAAATACATGAAATCAATATTTTTCGGATTATACTGAGCGTATTTTATTGTTATAAAAAACTGCATAAAACCGACAATACAATTTACAGTTTTACAATAATATAATACGCGTAGTAATCAAAAAAATGTTATGTTCATTAAAATGAATACTCGCGAAAGTCTTAGATTTCATTGTTTAAATAGACCCTGCGATTTCATTACAATACTCAAATATACATTTTCATTGTTGACAATAATAAATTGTTTGTAATATTCCCAAGTAAAGTGACAAGTTACGGGGTATTGTAATGATTTAATATAGGCCGTCTGTTATCGCGTTCAGCCAAGACATCTGTCTCTAAACTCTCAATGTTATAAATTGCATAACAACGATTCCACTCTCGTGGGAAGCAACCGATTGCTTTGTCACGCCGACTAAACTAACAAACTTTTGTAACTCTATATATATGTAACAATGTTATATAATTCAGAAAATCTAATAAAGAAAATGCTTTAATTCTAATATAACCAGTTTTCTTAGTACGTGATATAAAGAGTAACGTTTAAACTTTATGTTTAAAAGTTTTCACGTATCTTATTTAGTCGCATTCCGTCTTGCACCGCAAAACTCCCATCCTTGGCTGCGATACAAAATTTTGTGCGGAGTCATGTATAAAATGCGGAGCTAATTTTAAAACTTAATCTTATTTAAGAAAGTTATTCTTACGTGTTGATAATTTACGCGACGAATTCCTTTAAAACACTTCGAATTTTGTAAATGTTTTGCAGTTTGCGTAATAATAGTGATGTAAAATTAGGGATGGTTTTTAAATGACTATAGAGAATTGTGAAAGAGGTTGCGCAAGTCTAGTATAAAGAGCACGTGTTGTCCGGTGTCATTGGAGCGAGGCAGGCGATGAACCGTGTATGGGATCAGTGCGTGGGCGCACCTTTACATTGTGCGAATAAAATAGAAGTTTCCGTGAAATGACCAAAAATACACGAACTAATAAGAAGCCTCTAAAGTTAAACATAGTCTAAACAGACATTTAATTAGTTACCAATAATAATTACTAACGCATATTCAATTAAGAGATAATTGTCTTTTTATTATTTTAATATCTCTATTCATGTCAATATGTCATCGGTTTTAAATTTTTTCAATATAATTTCATTGCATCACAATCGAAAGAATTATTGATTGTATAAATTCTGTAATTTGGTTAAACGCTGTGAGGTGAGAGTTCATTGAACCTGTACTAATAAATAGCTAGATTACGCAATTCATTCCTTTGGCCGGGATCATTCAATGTAACGTTTATATTTGACTAATAAATATTTCCGTGCGTGGAAGAAATATAATACGCAACATTTGTGTTACTGTTTCGGATGTATTTCAGACGTTGTTAGTTGTTATTCCGTTTCTCATTACGACTGTTTATTTAACTTATTCGTTTATACCTAGAAGAATTGGTTGAATATCTATAAATGTACAATTTGTCGATACATATTTATGCTGAACAATAGTTAGTTTTATTCATATAGTTAAGATTCAATGAATCTGTAGTTTTGGTACACTATCCTATACTTAGACTGAAAGATATTCCGATCCTTTGACGGCGAACATCAGAAAGAGAACTTATCTTATTTTCAATACGTCAAGGACGCTGGAGGGTCTTTTTATCATATTTTTTGCACATCAAGGGTCGAAGGGCACTAAACCTGCAGACTCAGCTAGGATATTTAAAGTGCTTGTCATATAATAGTACTCACTATGAGTTTCTTTCAAACAGATTCGAACTAATTATTTTACTATTTTTAAACAGACAATACAAATATTTCACTGAGTTATAAAAGCTTAAGGTTTGTTCTATTAAAGGACTTTTTATTCCGAAAATCTGTCGTAGATAACAGATTTTTTACAATCTTGACCACATGTGCTCGGTAATAACACTATTGGCATTCAAAATTTATGAAAGATTTCGTTTTATGTAGTCATAAAATATAACTGGAACTTATTCCTACAAATGGAAAGATATTGTATAGGTATTACAGATTCTGAAACTATTTACAATTACCTTTACTAGACTTATACACATTTCAATATATGTAACTGTACAAGTGCATGGAATATTTAAAACCTAATTGTGCCTTTAACGATGGGTCATCCAAAACTCACCCTTTTTATTCTTCTCAGATTTCTTAACTTTGGACACCTTTCCAATATTACACGTTAATCGCTCAATCACCTTCAGAATTTTCTCGCTAACTTTGTTAATGGTTCTCTTGGAGTCGTATTTCGTTCGTGGCCCGACTGTCTTCTCGCAGCCCGAGTCAACACTATCTTCTGTTTCAGTCGCTGAATTATCAGACTGATAGAATATGTAAGGGCTGGTTGCGAAACACGGGGAGTTCATTATATAAATATCAAAAAATATATGTGACTTTTCTTCTATTAAATTGTAATCTTAGGATTGTTTTGATATTAAATTAAAGTCTATACGTCTCTCGCGATCGATGTCTGAAGGAGCGTTGAGCTCAGTCGGTAGTGCCGGATGTAAGGCATCCCAAGTCGTCTTCGAGGCGTGACACCGCACCCAGACCAGCCCAGATTGGCAGAGACCTTGAAGTGTCTTTTAAATAGGTCGGATCATAATTGCCCTTTGTTTCGTGACCCTCGATTACGTGATCCCGTTAAACCCTCATAATGTTTTCGTGTTTTGTCCGAACAACAAATTGGTATTTAAAATTTTGTTGAAATTAATTTAAAAATATAATTATATTTGGCTCTGTTAATAATCAGTCGATCCACGTAATAAAGTATCGGTTTTTACGCTAAGTTATAATCTTGTCAATCATTTAAGCAATATTGGTAATATTGAAATAAAAATAAAATTTATGCATGAGAATATCACTTCTTGACCAAGAAATTTTACTACAAAAATAAGGTAAATGATAATAAAAAAGCCTAATTAACTATGGTCGAAAGAATGTCCTTGGCCTTATGATTATATCTTCTTAGCTGACATTTCAAATCGTGGAAAGATATAAATTTCAAAACCTACTTTAATCTTAAGGAGTTCATAAAATTTAAGAATTACAAAACACGTATTAGAATAACTATGTAGTTAACTCTTTAAGTTCAAAGAGGTGTATAAATGAATAAATTATAATAATGTAAATTAATGGAGAAAAATATGTTATAAAAAATACTTTTTGGGAACAATTTCATCCTTGTTAGTAACTGAACTTCATGAATTTAAAATGTCTACATAATTTAGTAAAATATTCTGCTAGAACAATTATGTACATATATCCGTTACTGTTTTCCTAAAATATGGAATAATTTTTGTTCCTAGTTATTTATTATAAATTTCTAATATTAGTGACGATATTTATACTACAAAATTACAACTTCATTTACTGATTTTCCCAAATAAATGTATATTTATTTCCTTGTTTATACACTTAATTCGGGACAATAATGAGCTAAAGAATGTATTTTGATGTCGCAAAATTAACAAGTCGCCTGTTGAATTTAAGTTATAAAGTTGGTTTGTCACAGATCATTATTTATCTCACTTATAGGGTTTCATATAATTTTTTAAAAGATTAAATTCTAGTGATTTAAAAAACCAAAGACTTCTTGATACTTTAAATTTTCCAATAATTTTAATACGCAGAAACTAAACAATTTATAACCAGCATATGGACCATTCAAATTATTGAATTTATTTCATAAAGAAATAAAGATTATGTAAAATATACAACATTTAGAGAAATGACACATAAAAAACACGTAAAGGTTATTTATACCGTAATGATTTCAGCTTCATATTACTGTATGAATGATAAAAGTATTAAAAATATAATCTTCCATTACAATTTCAATAGTTACGCATTATTCCTAAACAAATTAATTCTTTAGTACTTATATTGAATTGTGTTTATTGATAAAAAGAATAATTAATCATTTTATTTATTAATATTTAACTGTATAAGCTGTGGACATTCTATTTAATAGCATCATTTTAACATAATGTTAAGACTAAAAATTTGCGAAGTAACTTAATTATAAAGGAATTTATCGGACAACGAAGCCAGTCGATGGAACCAATATCGATATTGCGCTTTGAAATCTTTAAACTTTGAAAACTTCCCAAAACCGTAATGAGGTTTCGAGAATTTGATCTCATTTAATACTCTAGGAAAGTAACAAAAAAATTGTATAGCACGTATTTATTTAATAGTATATGTATACAAGAATTATTAATGTTGAAGTTTCATTTCTATAGTCGACTTAAGCGGTATGCTCTTTATTGATGAAAAATATATTAGGTATTTATAATAAATGGGTCCATCTTTACATATGATATCGCAGGTAATAATTTTGTTGAAAAAGAAAATATTTATATTTTATTTTAATGTAATATAGAATCCACGAATCCTTATCTAAATGTAAGATCTAGTAGCAAAGTTCGTAGATAGATGTTTGCTTTGGTAAGTTGTCAGAACTGGTCGCTAGATGGCGCTGTAACTTATTATGCAGTAGAGGTTTCAAGATGCTTTACAGACTTTCATACTTTGAACTCTAATAGACACTTTGAAAATATTATAATATGAATTTTAAAAAGGTCTTTCTTATATATATCGAGCAATTGTATGGTTGAAATAAAAATAACTTGAGAAGAATAGTGTCTTTTCCTAATACATACATAAGGTTAAGTGTACACGTATAGTAATTGCGATTTAATGAATAACTTACCTTCTTTATATTCTTCTCTTGACGATGTGTTTTCTTCCACGTTCCTTCCATTCTCATTGACTTTCATATCTTCATCATACAACGTCATAGGAATAATTCGTTCTTTATGATTACGATCACTGTCAAATTTGTGCACACCGTTCGGTTTATCACTTTCACTAGAACCGTTGAGAGTTATCTTTTTGATAGTTTTAATTTCTTCTGTCTCGCGTATCATCTCCTCGGTAACTGATTTTCGTTCGGTGTATTCGGTAAATTCGTTTCTACGGAAATTATTGTCGCTCTTGGAGTATATCATAGCACCGTTGGACGATCCGTCCAATTTGTCACTTGGATTGAAATCATTTGTTCCATTATTGAATGGATTCTTTTTTATCTGATCTCCGTTATTTGAATCCTTAATGTCATAACTGAATTTGTCGAACGAAAACCGTCTCGGTGAAGTCTCGCTTTGATAACCAGCGTTAGGTGAACCGGCTCCGGGATCATTTTTCTTAAAGAACGATGACATTTTCAGGTCATCGTAATTGGTTCTATTCGCAGGTCTTTGGAGCGAGTTCGATTTGCCGTTTGTTATTTGTAATTTAGTGTTAGGCAGTGTTGAATAGAATGGGTTAGTTGGGTGGAAATTCTGTGTGTCTTCGAAGGATTTCACGAGTGGTACTGATTTGTTCGATGGAGATTTTGCTGGAAGTTTGTTTGGTGAATTTGGTTGTTTGATGGTTGCGTAAACCGGTGGGTGCGGGGTTGCCTTCTCGGTAATGTCGATCAATTGAGATGGTCCTGGAACAAAATAGAACTATTAAATGTCATATATCAGGTCCTAATGCACCTCTATGAAATATATTTTTAAGATAAAAAAATATTAATTTAATCCGTTCTATGTTTTTATATAAGATAACAGCAAGGTATTATATTAAAATTGTATAATGCAAAGGTTAAAGTGTGTGCGTGTCTGTGTGTGAGTGTGTAAGTGTAAATATGTGTACCTAAATGTGTGTAATTATGAATGTCTATGTGTGTGATATCAGATTTCTTTTTCGTGACGTTTCCGATACTGCATCAGATAGTATAAATGCATTTACAAGAAAGGTTTCTAAAAAGACTTTTACGACTAATTCTATTTATAGCAGGCAATAAGGCATATTCAATGTAATGAAAGACAAAACTAGACATTAAATTCATTATACCAAATAAATTATTCTAATATTTGTGTTTGTTAGAACAGTTAAATGTATCTAATGAGATTTTCACACACAAACAAAATTATTATGTATTTGTGTTAATTCGATTACGAATGAAGCAACATTTAACTATAAAAATGATCTAAATTCGATCTAAATATATCCAGTAACCATGAATCACGTATTACACTGAGGTGATCTTAAAATAACTTGTATTGAGACAGCATTACGCGCAGTGATGCCTATATGTTTAAATCAAATACAAACTAAAAGCATTTCCCACGGGATTTAACTAAATTTATACGAAGTAAATATTGTATTATAAGTCCAGGTTTCCTCACGATGTTTTCCTTCACCGTCTGTCAGTGGTGTCTAAATACTCTTATAAAATACATATGACTCGGAAAAAGTCACATTGGTACTTGCCAGGGCCAAGATCGAACCCGCACCCTCGGCAACGAGAGGCGGGCCCTTTAACCACTAGGCCACCACTGACTTATAATTTCATATTATTAATATTATATTCTATAGATTTAATATGAAATTTAAATGACTTTATATATTTAATTATTCAATGAGTTTATCACAATCAAGTGTCGTCCACCGTGCGGCTTGATCGCAACGTAATGAACTATATATTTATAAGTCCGTCATTAACCTGGAATCTCATTAATTGCAACTTTATATAATAATGAAGGACTGATATTACGTTGCTTTTTTGTTCAATAGTACGTTATTATATATAAAAACTAGCTGTTCCGACAAACGTTGTTTTGCCATTAATAAAAAAATAGTAAAAATCTAGGGTTGTATGTATTTTATAATGCTATATATATTATAAAATAATAAAAACAAAAAATTTCATCCAAAACTTAAGAATGAACAACCCTTATCACTTTGGTATGAAAAATAGATAGCCAATTCTCAGATCTACTGAATACGCATATTTTGGAAAAAATCGTAAAAGGAGGAGTACGGTAATTAATATTGTGACATGAAAATTTTATATATTAGATTTAAAACCATAACAAAGCTAATATATTGAACGACCTCAGCACACTCCTAGCACTTAGCTTCTAGTAGCGAGCTGGTTCATTCACAAATCCCTCTTTGCATAGTTCACTATAATATCGGCACATTATATTGGCCAAATCTACAAGGAAACGCCAATAACTAAAGAAGAATAAGCTAATATATAATTATTTTTAGCTCAAGTTTAATTAAAACACAAGAAAAACTCATCTCATTATGTTGTATGGATAAGTTATTATACGGTCAACTTACTTTTCAGTTCCGTGGCTTTCGGAATAGATCTTCTTCGGGGTGACGTGTCCCGGTCTCTGGCGACAAGAAAACTTTGATGAGAAAACGGTAAACTTAAGTTGCATCGCGAATGCAAGGTTTTAATTAAGTTTTTTACTATATTACTTGTAGAGAAAGTTTTATATATATATTGAATTAAATTATATAAATAAATGTGAATAGAACTATGATTTTTCGAGTATAAAAAGCGTATTTTTATATTAATATTGTATGCAAAAATTTTGATTTATGATGAAAAAAAAACGGGAGCGAAATAAAAATAAAACTATTTTATATAATATCTTCGAGAGAAAATATTAATAATCAATAATTAAATAGAATTAGAAGGACAAAAATTAAAATTCTCCTATTATTAATGAAATTATCAATCTGACTTCCCCAATTTTGATTGAAATAGTTAATTTGTTCTATTTTCATTGAAATTATTAAATTGACTTCACCTATTACCAATTTGCAATCTGGTTTTCATTAAAGTTTTTGTATCTCTATAGGCTAAATACTACCTAAACAAAATAACAATAAATATTCCGCCACACAAACTAACTCGAATCAATGCGATCAAGATGTATTGTAACAATCTAAGTCTTTATAAAACATTTCTTTACTCTACCATACTTTATCCATCACTTTGCATTCTTCTGACTCGTCAATTCTTTTGTACTCAACGTACTATTATGCAAATCTTAAGCGCAAATGTTTGCATTTGTATCTCTTAATTTCAAGCAGACGAGCTAAGAACTTTTACGTTTTATTATTTCTGTATAATATAATATTCTAAATACATTTTCATTCTACAAAGTCCATTACCGTTTCTGCAAAATATAATTTAATTCTGAAGTAAAATATCTCAATAAAAAGGTTAACGCTGTACTTCTGTCTTATAATTGAACTTGTTTAACTTCATCATCATCATCAGCCTATCAGAGCCCATTGCTGAGCAAAGGCCTCTTTTCATATGGAGAAGGTTTGACCACTAATCACCACGCTTGCTCAAGACGGGTTATCGATTTCAAACTAACAATTTGAAATTATAAGGTTTCCTCGCGATGTTTTCCTTCACCATCTATCAGTGGTGTCTAAATGCTTTTAGAAAGTACATATGACTCGGAAAAATCCCATAGATAATTGCCGGGCTTCCAACCCGCGCCCTCATGCACGAGAGGCGGGCCTTTAACCACTAGGCCACCAAGATCTAACTTGTATTTTATATGAATACTAGCTGCGTACCGCGGTGTTACCCGCGGACTTCCGGGATTTCCGGGTTGTAAAGTAGCCTATGTGTTATTCCTGAACGTCAGCTTCCTGTATACAATATTTTATCAAAATCAGTTCAGCCATTTGAGCGTGAAGAAGTAACAAACATACACACACTCACAAACTTTCGCAATTATAATATTAGTAGGATTATTATTTTCTTTCTGTTATATCTTACTTACTCATTAAGGCCGAGTCTGAGCACTGGTCCAGCTGCCCTAAGCATGGCGTGAGCATCAGAATTGCTCATATCCTTGGTTGGTCTGCCGTTGATAGATGAGATCACGTCACCTTCCCTGATGCCACTCAGTGACGCTTTTCTACCCGGATTCACCTGAAATATTATTATTTTGTTGACTTGAGACTTAATATCATAGAAATAAAGCTTATATTTAATAGGTTTACGTGTTTATAATTATTTTTAACTACATAATGCTGACGTTTTGGTTACTTTGCAGCAACCGTGATCACGGATAGACGATATGAGAATATCATTTTAAATTGATTATTGATAGTTTAGTTTTTATTCTATTTCTTTCGTTGTTTTTAAATTATAATATTAATTTATTAAAAAAAGCTTTATAGGTCAAAGAGCATTTTCTATTATAGCTATAAGAACTTTGCAGATTAGTCTATTGAGCCGCTCCCTAGAGAACGCCGCATTGCTTTTTCAAGGTTAAAATAAGACTCAATATTTACATACTTATAATACATTCGTTTCAAAACCACATCAGCTGTTCATTAATAATACTACCGCGAATAAATGAAAGGGAATTTAAAATTACACAGAGCTTTTATTAAAATAATCTCATTTTGTATAAGGTTATCAGACAGCGAATGTGTTTTCATTATTGGTTGTAACGAACGGCACAGATAATCAGATACGAAGCCAACCATAAAAAAAACATTACGGGGCCGCGACACCATAATAACTGAATACGCAATTTCACGATATTTAAAAAGCAACAATTCCAACAAACGCTGTAAAAAAAAGGACAAATTGACCTCAAAATTTCAACACAATACGTTGTAATTATAAATGTAATTATTTGGGTCTGGATTATGGTTTACGGAGGGTGGATTATTTTTATAAGATTATCCATACTTAATAATTCACATATATAAGTACTTATATCACATTATGTATGATATGGCATATTATTATGCAATAAACCAATTCAATAACATGTCAAAAACTCATTTTAACTTAAAACTTAATATTGGAACGTGCGTCAATTATTTATTCACACGAATATATAAACGGAATGTCGAGATAAATGATTATTACGAAATATTCCAATCGAATGTATTAATATAGATTTATCTTTTAATGATTCATGTTTCTCTTATTACGAGATGAAATATAATAAAACTCGGTTCACTCTCCGGGCCTTGTTATCAGCACTTCCACGTTTTAAAATATCCATTAAGCATTTACAAACCGCATTCGTATCCCGACGTCTTGCCGCCGGTGAGCAAAACTTTAACATGTTTCCTTCCTGCACTCACGAGAACTTTGACCTTTCTCAACTATATTTTATAACACAGGCACATATAAAAAATATACTTTTATGTCATTAGAAAATATATATATATTTTTATAGGCGATGATCGCCAGTCACCCTTAGAAAGTCAAAACAGAGACTAAGCTAAGGCACGCGACCGTAGAGCCAATTTCATCAAACCATTATATGGGCATTATTCGAATATGCATGCGCCGTGAGGGCGAAGCTATTGTATTGGACATTGTCACTCCTTCGGAATATTAATCACTTCAAAGCCAGGAATCGTGTACGTGCCCCTGTATTTTTATAGTCCAATGAACCTACATGGTATATTGAGGATTTAAATACAATTCGTATCTTTATAACTCGGGAGTTCATTACGCTGCTTATAACGCCGCCAGCGCTGCTTCGCTTTAACTTACGAAATAAGTGTTATCTGCCCCCTTCATACTCTATTTGCATAAATAAACAGATCTCGTGCTGTAAAGGAATAATTTAAAGTTATCACGTCATATTATTTTCAACAATTATGTACATAACAAAAATATACAAGAAAAGATAATACGATGAAATTATATATTTTATTTAAAATTTATTCTTTCTCAAATTACTACTAATCTTAACGAATCAAAAAATCACTTCTATAATGACAATACTCAATGTAGTTACTTTATAGTTTATTGTTTTTCACGAATGTAATTAAAATCTTGATGTAAGATATATTTATAGAGGTTAACTGTTCAGTTAACAACAAAGAGCAAGAGTTAACGCTTTGAAACAATGTCATTACTGGTGGAACACCCTACACTTAGAGAAGCAGGATGACGGGTACAGAAAGAAAAGGCTAAAAGAAAATTTAAATAGTGCGACCAATGTTCGTATATTCATAGAATCTGTAGAGCTCTTGTATTTACTCTAATTAATAGGAACGATTGCTTGTATACTATTTTATTTTTTATAAGCATTATATTTCATTTTAAACTTAAATATTTCATAATAGTATTTTCATAACTGACGTAAGTGGAAATGTCGTAACTAGAATATTTCGAATAAAGCTAAGATAAATTATAAAAAAATATTATTTTTTTTCAAGTTAGTATTAAAATATCAAGTATGCAGATACTTTTTGGTCAACAAATAGGCTAATATTATAATGAAATTACTTCTTTTATCATGACGTCATTACAACAGGACTTTCTAAGTGATAAAGTTTTCAAACCTTTATTAAATCACCGTTGAAATAACACTATCCAAAGTAAGATTGTACAAAAACATTTATCCCGACAAACGCTTTCAACTGTTTCCTAACTTCTCAGTTTAACTGTTTACAATTATGCCACATTAAAGTAATCTCTAATTCCTTACATTAATTGCTATTCTTGCTTATCGATTACGAAATTGTCAAAACTATTTTCTTAATAACATAAGTAAATTACACACGATTTTATCACATACGTACTACCTGACCATTTCATGTGAACCCGGGACGAAGTGACTTTGGGTGGGAATTAAAGAAAACTCAGTAACACCGGAGGTCTACGGTGTATGGTCAGTGAAGAGGTTGGTATTCGACTCACGTTTTAAGCCGCACGTGCTTCGCGTTCGCGATATATCTGCCTCCTCAACTACAGTTGCCAATTTATCCTATTTATACACTCTTATCAGAGTTATTAGTTTCAATAAGAAAGTTAAATTCCAAAAAATTTACATGTTTAGGAACTTAGAAAGGTCGTAAAATTGAGAAAATTTTCCATCCTCTTTAAAATTTGTGCTTCTTTTAACAATGCCCAATATAAACTCAGAAAATAAGAACAAAATGTATACTTTTTTTGCGACAGTGATTTCACTATAAACTTAAAGCAATCCGTCCTTCATGTATTCGGTTTCAAAGAATTTTAAAACGCAGCATCTTCATTTAAATATGCAAATAAAAATGCACATAAACAAATACCCTTTACCTCTCACGATTTAAATTCATAGAAACGATGATTTCATAAATTATTCAAAGCGTGCATAATTGCTTCTCTTTCATCACAAATGTGGATTCCATGCGATTTTGTGGCGAGTTACATGTTGCCGCAATCTCTAGGCGAATTATGGTATCTTATAGGAATTGTTTGGAAAGCATTCGGCCCCAAGAGAAATGGAATGGTCAGTAATTTGTATATTTATGTGTCTGTTACGAAAAACTACTGTAATGATCCAGATATGTAGTAATATTTAATTTTTAATTCTACTTATACAGTACAGCTATTTCTCAGTATTGATTGAGTTAAAATGGAATCGTTTTTCAGTAGATACATACATTAAAGAATACTGAATGGAAAGAAATTTATTTTAATTTTGTTTATGAAAAATTTTATATACAAAGACAAATCTGAGACAGCCTTTGACTCCGGGACTAGTGAGAGTGTGAGTCTGTGATAACAGCCAAAGCTAGACAACTTACTTCAAGTGCTCTGGAAATAAAGATTTTGTCGAAATTTCTGTCTCCGTAATATGAGATTTCTCTCCTCTACTTGTGTTACCTACTAGATCTGGAACTGAGTTCTAATTATTTTGAGAGCAGAGAGTAAATGTAATTGTGTTACATTAAGAAATTTCTTTTCTATAAAACGTTTGGTTATTATAAAAACTATACATAATAATAGATATAGTAAACATAACTTCGTTTTTTTCAGTTATCTCAATTCTATGAACCTGTACTCAAATTATACATTATAACATCTTAATGTCAAAAGGAAATGATTATCTGTACATTGATCTCCGAAATTTTATGATATAAATATACATAAGTGGCTTCATTATATATAATGATGAAAATTGAGACTCGACTCGCTTTTTAATTGACTTATTATATGCAACAAAACATCGTCAACATTGTCACACGTATATTAAGGTTAATTTAAAAAACTATTCTGTTACAAGTCAATTACTTTATTATTGTAAGGGATTAAGTTAAATTAATCATAGTTGATTAAACTGTATACTATTTTATTTACAAAAGTTTTTAGTCCTTTTATTTAAATGGACAATTATTTTTTGTAGTTGCCAGTTATTTTCAGTGTCGTAAATTCTGTTTGATATTTGTATTCCGATTTTTATGTATTTTATTTATTTACAAGCTCAATGTAAAAAGAGTAAATGGCAAGACCACACCAATATAAAAAAATGTATTTTAACATTATTCCACATAAGTCACTAGAGGCTATGTTTTTTAAACTGTTATTAGGTCTTAAAATCTTATCTACAATAAATTCAAATACTAATTTAATTAGTGTTAGTTCCTAATATCTGTATTCTTCTTAATATTACATTATTATCCAAATCAAACTACTCTAAGTAATTAAATCAGTGACCAATATTATTTCAGTAAACTCAAGTGATAAGCCTTGATTTAAACCTTCTTAAGCCTTAACGGGTTGAAGATCTTTAATAATTAAGCAGTCTGCATTTGTTTACTTGATATTCTAAGGATTTGGAAATCTGAGAACAATGACGGTTAATGTTACGAAACAAATGTTTTTTTGTGAGCGTAATTACAAAAAAGATGAGAACAGATTATAATAGGTACTCTAGGGTGATATAAAAATATATATATAATATGTGATAAATATACAATGTATATATATTTAATATAAAAAAAGCAATATAAAAACCTCTGTACAGACTTCTTTTTAAACATGTATGTATTTGTATACGTATAATTTTAATTAACGTAATTGTGTGAGTATATTTGTTTCTCAAAAATGTTCTTGAATGGAGCGAAATGCATAATAAAATCATGATAATTAAAAGCATAATTGTTTTACGAAATATTACCGCAAAATTTATGAAGTTCTCGACGTTCTTTAAAAGCACTCTTAGGCAACGAATTTCTGAAAAATTATATTTGCAATGAAGGCAATATTGGAGAAAATGTACCTAATGTAATCAATATTTCCTCATGTCGCTGAAACCTTGGAAGCTTGGATGTACATATGTGATGTCGGCAAAATCTAAAGTAAGTTTAATGAAATTGATCTAATTGGAAAATTTCAAGTAAGCAGATTAAAATGAAATGAAAAGCTTCTCGTAAAACCCGCCACATTCTATCTAGGATCAAAGAAAGAATGTTAATGACGTAATTTGAGACCAAGCGTTTACTTAAAAACGTTTCGGACCGTGTAACTTGATTGTTTTTATTGCGTTTCTGAATATTTATTAAACTTGTATATTTTAAATAAACAGGCAGGTTTTTGTAATAAAGCTTCGATAAATAACATTTATCTACGTAAAAGCAAAACTTACAGGCATATTTTGTATTCAACGTCGATGGCAAGTGAACGGCTATGTTTATTTTGCAGCAAGTGACCAATTTTGTGATATATATAAAAATATATGCTTAAAAAATAGACTTATAATGGGTTTGTGACAAGAGTTTGTACTTTGTAGTATAAAAAACGCGTCGTAAATCGATACTCACTCTTGATATTCTCAAAGGCTGGTTTTGATCAACCCCGCCGTGCATTCTGAAGCCCCATGGAGCGCCACCAGTCAGCTCCACTTCTCTTGTCGACATCTCTCACAACATTTCTCGATAACAATGCAGTACAAAAGCAGCTAGGTGCAGTCTTATTGTTTAATTGTAAAGTAATTTTGGAAGCCCAGATATTCCATTTCACAACATTGAGGTAGAATGTATTAGCGTTATCTGAAACAATTTTACGCAGATTAAGACTTACGTACGTAAAAAATATTTGATTCCTGTATTATCAACAATATTGTTATGAATGCCAAATGAGCTATTTAAGAGAATTAAAACTGTTCTTTCTATATAGGTATCATATAATGGATTTATTAATAGCAAAAATAAAATTATGGTTAAGTTTTGTTTCTTTACAACAACCCTTTACAAGTATGATTATAACAACATATTTATCGACTACAACAAATAACAGAGGTCCCGTGAAATCTGGACTCGACATAAAGGTGCTGAAACATGACGTCAACATTGAAGCCTATTCCTGAAAATTAATAGCGTATAAAGTCCGCTCAACGCCGGATTATACTTGTATTTCAAATAGGAAAATGCTTCAAAGTATGCTTTAGTGAATTTGAGTTGTTATTATACACATTTCAAATATATTCTGTGTCAATAATGATAGATACTTAATCAGCAAATCCGTTTATAGCAGATATATCTATGCATTCTATTATTCGAATTCATATTAAAAATCTTTACGATATTCTCAGTTTTAATACGTGTGTTAAATTTAAAAATAAAGTATGTAATAACGCTGTCCAGATTGATAGAACTCTGACGCAAAAACAGACTAAACATAAACATTCCACGCGAGTGAATAATAGAGCATTTTTGGAACAACAAATAAGATATTAATAAAGATTATATATACGATAATTTGATATAAATAACAATTTTGGTTAGGTAGGGAAAGGAGCTTGGACAGTGGAGGTGAGCGTTTAACGCGCGTTAGATAAGGGGCCCCTTAAACCTACACCTGGATTGCAAGTCCCAGGCACTGTTGAAGCTCCTCTCCCTGCAACGCGATGGACCCGGCACACTCACAATGAATACATTGAATGCTAGGAAGTTTCGTCTCTCTCTTATACAATGATTATATGCCATAAATTTAAAGGTATTTTATATTAAAATTCTTTTAAATACAGATTTTAAACTCAGAAACTCACCAGCGTTATGAGATGTAACTTCTTTTGTGTATTTTGTTTGTTACTTGTAATGTCCATTACTTAAATCCTGTATGATTATGTTGTTAAAAAGCATTAAACTGAGAATTCTTTATTGTGATACTATACTTAATAGACTTGGAATATTTGTTTTAATTTAGTGAAATAGAATTGTCATACAAGGTCCTTCCGATAGACAATTAAAAGTGAATACTACCCTCACGTAAATTAATAACTAAATTCATAGTTGTTTAATATCACAACATAAAAATTTCTTACTATCTGAATGTTTCAAATGATTATTCTAAAAGAATGAAAAAAATTAAAAGAATTTTTATAAACAGATGGACTGGTGTAACATGAAAAAAATGTGACAAAACAAATAAAGTTTAAATAGACAGACAAAGCCACAGGTTTCAGCTAGTTTATAACTCATAAATAATAACACCTTTAGCAATATGACAAAAATTCCATTAGATACATCCAACGTTCTCTGAAGACAATTGGAGCAGAAAAGCTGACCAAATTCAATTGTTTTCTAAAATATCCCATCAGTACATTTCAGCTTATTACGTCTTATGTATGTTATATTTATAATAAGTACCTATATAAATTTATGTGGCTATTAAAATATTAATAAATATGTGTTTTACAATGGTTATGAACATTGTTTTCTTCCAAATAATACACTAATGCACACATATCTTTCTGAATTTAAAAATAGCCATTGTTTAAAACAGTGTCTTCTTCATTTAAATATATATATTTTATTTTTGTTTATGTATATCCTTTTAGTTAATTGTTTCTTGACCCGTTATTATTATTATTTATTCTGGAACATTTTATTAAAAAGTGTTTGAAAACACCACATACAAGTTCTAAAGTTTGTAACAAAACATCATTGCTATAAATGCAATCTTTCTTTGTAACTCATATGAATCCTTTCTCACAAATAAAATAACGCGTATTCTCAATATGAAAGCTTTTGTGTAAGGTTTCTCTCATTTCATAGTAAATTGTACGATGGAAATTATTGAAGCCATATATTTAATCTAACATTTTCTTAGAACGATTCCGTTCGATTACTTTTTAATAATGATCTTTGATATATCTTAAATTATCTTTTCAATCTCAAATTTGTATTGTACGAGACAATATTGCAAAGATATTTAGGAATAAAATCTGCACATGCATATATACAAGGTTGGCTGGAAAAGGGAAAATTGAAAAAGATAAAGAATTAAAAAAAAAAGATTTTGAAGGCTTGATTGGAAAAGTCCTTATTCCAATCAAGCTTTGTATTGACATGTTGAATTCTGTACAGATTTTTCTGGTCATTTCCTATGGTCCTATAAGCCTAAGATATCCTATAGTTTATGACTATATAACTATAAAAATAAAATAATACTTTGATAATCTATACTATACTATGGTAATTAAGATTATAATATGTCAATATATAACCAATCCAATAAGTTACACCGTTATTTTTGTTTCTGTGTATTTTAACAATACGGAAAACAAAGCTAGTAACTCTAAATTAAATAACTAACTATAATTTAGTTAAATTATTTTGAGATTGCAGTCCTTTTTTCTGTGTCTTAAACTTCATCATAAAAACCTACACCAACGTTAGAAAGTTCGATAATAAACAATACATTGTGTGAAACAAGGTCAAACATACTGAAATATTTCGTGTTATGATCTAGAGCGAACTGAAGGTTACATTAAAATACTCACACATACATATAATATATATGTATGTGTGTGTGTGTCATATATATGTATAGTATTTAAAATAATGCTCTTGTTATGAATTACAATAATAATTGTGATCATACTTTCAATCACAATTACAATAGAGAACATAAAAATACAATGAAAGTCAAAACCGATCGGAAAGAATGTTATGAAAGAACAAATTTATTACAACACTGTAAAGCTCCAACACCTTTACAAAATGCTCTCATTACAGCGACATGAGCTCGCTAAACGACCGATTAAACTTCATAAGTGGTAGAAATGATACGTAAAACAGAAAAGGACCGCAGAGTTATTTAAATATGCATAAAAGACAAAATAAAATGTATTTCCCAAACAGCTGGGACTGAATGGGGATTGGAGCAATCATCCTGTCGCCTTTTATCTCTTATTTTACGTATGACAATAAATGCTATTCCTTTTTTTACGGTACTTTAAAAATATAAATGAAAATTGACAGTACGGGCTCCGATGATAATAATATTACGAAATATGTGAGTAAGTAAGCACAATCAATATGACGGAAACTTAAGTGACGTGAATTCAACCGTCGTCGTTCCAACAAACGACAAAGTCGATCAGATAACAGCTTAGAATAGAAAGTAAGATGGACAGCAGGAAATTTATTAGCTTTCAGAAGACGAGCATAACATATATTAGCTGTTCAATAACGTCCAAAATATATGTCGCGTTTATAAACAAATCATATGTCATACCATAAATTCAGCGTAAATCTTGAAATTACGAGAAACCCGTCCAGTTATTGATGGCCAAACAATATTAGATCCGACCTGCGTCAAACAGTGACGGCAGCTAGACGTTTCTACTTCTGGCTTTTATTACAAACTGACTCAGTGCGCGATAATTGAACGTTAAATATAACCGACATACTAAAAGAACATTTCCTTTGACCTGACAATGAGCAATTTTTTTCAGTTGCTACTCATATCTATAGAGTTACGAAGTATGGATAAATATGTGCATTTATTTAAACCCTTAAACCTTTTGTCAATGAGGCGTGAGATATGGTAAAATGTACCATAAAGTCAAGTTACGATGGCATCTTAGGGAACATTATAAAGCGTGACTTCTAATCCTTATTATACGGTGTACCTTTAATGGTGTAATAAAGTTATTTAATTAAGTTGACATCACAGGATACAACTCTAGTAACTATTTAGTCCCGCTAAGCCAGGTTTAATTTATTAGGGATTAACGCGGCGTTAACGTTGGAGTTTCGTTACTACATACTGACCTGATCGTCATGAAAAATTTGTGATGCTTAAAGAAGTTATTTAAATTTTTATATAGACATATTTGTATGTAAATAACATGTATGGCTTTATAATAGCGTAAACAGAACGCCTGGAAGTAAGTGTCAACAAAGTTCTCTTTTGATATAAAAGCATGCCTTAACTCATTGACTCTTTCAAGCTTCCGAAAGATCGACATTTCTATATAATAGTAAATAATTGTTTCGAAATTGATACTTCTTCTCGAATAAAATGTCATTGTTATTACAACAATAACGGTTGTAGAAAGGCTTTTAATCTGAACAAGATAACATTCCTTCTTTGTAATCAATAATGAACAAGTCAAAATGATTACAAATTAAATTTCAATTAAGGTAAATCCACGAAAAATAAACTCCAATTTCAATTACAAATAAAACATATTAGTGTTAATATTAATCGTTATTAAACACCGCTGAACAAAACTAAACTCAGCTCATTGAATGTATAATTCTTCGTTCATACAAAAACACAAAGCTTGTGTATACAAAATGGAACATAATTTCCTTGTCGGTTTAAAACCAAGCGATAACTCGTCCGAACAGTCGGCAGACTGTGATTCCACAATTCAAAGTATTCCGATGGAACGCGTATGGAACTATGAATTGGGTCAGTCAGATGGTATTAGACAAAAGTAGTGGCTACGGGATTATAACGAGACGTGTACATTATATTTATAATGTATGGCTCAGTTGCACGCCGGTTATTGCTCAATAAACCAAATAAAAGAATATTACTGTCTTACCAAACGAAAAAGCAGGATTTGGAACAAAATAAAATAACTACCTAATACTTTGATAGTTATGATCCGAACAGTAGA